CCCCAAAAAAAAAAGGGTCGCGCGCCTCCTTGTGGGCAGCACGCGTCATGATTCATGGTTTAGCTCCTAGCTCGCGTGCCCGTTGCGGCAGGTGGTTGGGCCACTGCTGGAGCTCCCCTGCATCGCATTGAAGCTCTGACGAGAGAGTTTAACCCAGGTACCCAGGCCTGTGGGATTCGCCGACATTGCGAACCGGTCGTTATTTTCCCCAAACGTAATGGATAGCGAGAGAACGTCAGCATAAATCACAAAGCGGTCATGGAGGCGTAATCAAACACCCTGCTACGGCACTGTTGTGCATGACTCCAAAATACCACGCCCTGACAGCCAGTCAGACGCCCTAGAATGGAGCTGACCAGCAACGACGGGAGCCGACGAAGCGACGTCTTTCGCTGATGATTGCTCAAGAAAGCCTCTCCTTTGCCGCCCAGCCGTCTTCTGGAACGTCCAGTCAAATTTTAAACTTCCCGAGGCTAACTCCCGCCGACACTCAATTTTCTTGACATCTGCCCGCTTCCACTTGACACCGAGGAGCTTTGAACTCGGAAGGCGACGCTATCCCCGGCAATATTTCCGCTCGGGCAATTGAGTTGCTCCACGCCGACTTTTGTGTCTCGCCGGCGCCGACCCGGACTCTCCGGACCTTTCTCTCGGCGATCCGTCATCAATTCACGGCGTTGACTCGGTCACGTATAGCCTCTAACCTTCCGGCCGACCGAACGAATACGAGCTACTGTAATTTGCTCTTCAACCATCAGCCATGCTCTTCTCCAGAATCCCTTTTCTTCTGCACGCACTGGTCGAGACCGCGGGGGCGTCGTCGTTCATCTTGAAGCCGCAAAGCCAGCTGCCCAAGCCCTCCGCCGCCGCGCAACTCGTGCTGCAGTCATTTGGCGGCTTGCTATTGAGCACGAATTTGATTTGCCTAGTGTTCTTGTGGCGACCAGACTTCGATGACACGAGCAGGCTGGTGGCGGCTTCATTGTCGTTTTGGCATGTCTGGCCATGCTATCGCGCCTATGTGCGATTGACGGATCCCCGGGTGGACGGCACAAACAGCGGCCAGGTAAAGACTTTGGGAGGGCCTACGGTGCATCTTGGAGCGCATGCCGTGCTGTTCCTGGCATTTCTTGGTGCTGCTGTTATAGGATAAGTGAGGGATAGTGATTATCACGGTTTGCAGTTTTCGATAAGTGTCCCAATCCGATGATGCGAAGGTCTTCAGTTACCTCTCTTGCCAAATACAACGCAATGATTGGCGAGGCTTTTGCGATGCAATTCAGCGTTGGCCGAAGTTAAGTTGATGGTATATTGGCTCCATGCAAAATTGGCTCCACCAAGAGAGCTCGTCAACGAACGTTTGCCATGGTTTTTGCAGTCTCACGTCGTCTAATGGGATGGCCTCAAAAGAACACCTGTGTTCATTGCAGGCTGGTGGCGCAATCTACAGGCGCCTCCTCTCTATTGGGATATCTTCATTTTTATACAGACAAAACTTTTCCGTTCCCTAGTTCCTGAACAGCCTGAGACCCTCCTCCTCGGCATTAACATCATCGTCCATCTCCTCGTCGGAAGCCTCCTCGCCAAGTCCCATCCTCTGTCCAAACAGGGTGCCGAACAGTCTGTCGACAGCATCCTGCTCCCACATTCTGCGGTCTTCGGGCGCCATGAAGTTCTGCAGCTTCTCGTGGATGTTGAAGCGCATCTTGCGGCCCTTGCTCGCTCTCCTGTCGACGTGCTTCTTCGTCTTGGCCTCCTTCATGGCCGCCCACCTGACCGTCGGCTGCGCGGCGGCGCCTGTCGAGCCATTGTCGTTGGTGCGCTGCTCGACGAGCTGCTTGAGCATGAGCTGGTAAAAGTCGGCATCGTCGTAGATCTCGGGGTCCTCGTTGAGCTTCTTTGCGACTTGCGCCGGCGCGCAGGAACGGGGGGTTCGCGTGCGCTTGATCAATCGGTCGGTATTGAGAAGCTGCTCCTCCAGAGAGGCGACGATGGATTGCTGGGAGATGAGGTTGCGGCTCTTGACCTCGACGGTCGTGCTGCGGGTCTTGGTGGACCATGTCTCGAGCACCTTCTTGCGGTACTTCAGCGCGCGCTGCTCGGTCTCCTGGATGCCTTCCCAGATGTCCTCGCTGGAGGTTGATGCGTCGACTTCGTTGCGCTTGCGCTTTTCTCCAGCTTGGGCAAGTCCCGCGGGGAGAAGGCTTGCGCGGAAGCTGTCGAGGGTGTTGAGGAGCTTGAGGGCGGCCTCTTCGGCGGCCTCGTAAGGTTCCGAGTTCTGCTCAAAGTCGTCGGTGTCGACGACCGAGAACGAGTTGCTGGCGACGATGGCCTTTTGGAGGCGGATGCGGATGTTGAGGAGACCGTCAAAGGTCTTGCGCTGTTCGCGGACGGCGACACCCTTCTGCGCGTCTTGTTGCGCCGCGGCGGAGAGGGTTGCTGAGAGGGCCTTCTGGCCTTCGCTCATCAGCTTGCGCTGCTCGGCTCTGGCATCGGCCTTGTTGGACTTGCGGCGAGGCTTGGAGTCTTCGTCGAAGTCGTCAGAGTCTTCCTCCGAATCTTCGTCGCCCTCCTCTTCGTCCTCGTCCTCGTCCTCGGAGCCTTCGGAGCCTTCGAGGTCGGCCAGCAGGTCATCTTCGCTGCCTTCAAACCCTTCCTCGTCATCCTCATCATCTTCCTCGTCGCCGAGATCCATGCCGCCCTCCTCGTCGTCATCTTCCTCATCCTCGTCCTCGCCCTCGTTGTCCTCCAGGTCCTCCTCTTCCTCGTCGGAGATGAAGTCAGCGGCAGTAGGTCTCTTGCTACGTCCAGCCTTCTTCTTATCTTTCGGCTGGGAGCTGCCACGGAAGACGAACTCATCGAGCTTCTCGTCGTCGCTTTCGCCAAGGGCATTGTCGCTCGCGATTTCAAAATCTTCGTCGCCGGCGGCCGCCTCGTCCGCAGCCAAATCAGCGTTCTCGGGATCGTCGTATTCTTCGTCGTTAGAGTCGAATTGCTCCTGTGCATCCTCAAAGACATCGCTGCCATCGCTTTCGTCGTTCAAGGCATCTCGGCTGACGCGCGCGCCGCGGTACTGAGGACCGAGTGAGACCCCCTCCTTTTCGCGGAGTTTGCTCTTTCTGCAACACCCGTCAGTATGGGTTCTCAAGCCTGTGTCATTATTTCGCGGTCCCGTACCCGACAGTAACGTAATGCTCCGTGCCGACGTTCTCATCTTCGCTCTCACCACTGCCGCTGTCGTTCTCACTCTCGTCGACAGGCTCGGCCTCGGGATCAAGATCTGTGCATTTAAATCAGTCAATGATGGTTGTGAAGTCGACCGGACTGCATACCCTTGGGCAGCTGGTCTTCCCAGTCAGATGCTCTTCGACGGGCGGCCATTTTGTCGTCCGTCGCAAGTCCAGTTGTATGGCGATTAGCGGCAGAATGCCCTGGGCGAAATTTCTGGGCTTCAAGAAACTTTTTGACGGTGAGGCGCGGCAGAATTAGGAACCCCACCACAAACTGGATTACATAAGGTGTTTGCGGGACATCGCCTGAAGATCTCATTGGCTCCGGCACATTGTCTTCGACATGCTTCATGGTATCCGCACTTCAATTTCATCGAGGAAGATAGGCTTTGCAGCACAGAGCCAATTCTATTCCGCTTGATGATACTTTCGAATAAACATTTAAATCAGAGCACAACTGCATTCTTTACGCATTTCGCAAGTGACGCACACTGCGACACGACAACTTTACTGCTTCCCGTCTCTCAAAGCATACAACGGCTGCATGTTTCCGTTCCCATCACACGCGCCAAATTTCCACCAGTCGCGATGGAGCCACCAGGTGACATATCGAACAATCTTGAGAATCAACTTGCCGACAGGGTCCGGCGGGACGTCTGCCCACAGACCTCCCTCAAATGCGCTGTCCATGGTAGTCAAAGCCCAAGGCAAGCCATCTAGAAAACCCATTTCTTGCTACTCCGAGTCAGCTGTTGCACAGGAGGCCGTAATCAGTATTTGGCATATACCATGACCTCTTGGGCTTCTTGTGCGAAGATTTTCTCGACTGGCGCCATTTTCTCGGTACCGAACTTTTCTAAACTTAAGATGGTGGGAATCTCCTCTTCGAGATGAAGACACATATCCTTCCCGAAGCGGTCGATTAGAGATACAACCTTGTCACCGTCGTAGGCCACTTCCCGCGCGATGAGAGCCTTGATGTACTGGGCGAAAGATTCTAGGCCGTTGTGGAAGCTTTTGTGCTGTTCGATGTTGACGTCCATAAACCCAACGATGCCTGTGAGTCTCTCTACTGCCGGAAAAAAGAGGCGCTCTTCTCCGCTGTGGTGCGCGTGAATCATGCGATACCACTGGTGCATATAATTCGCGAAGCTGAACACGTCTTCGGGCTTGATATGGGGAGCTTGGAGGTAGATGGCGTTGAGACCTCGGAGAATGCAGTTGTGAACCAACGCCATTTCAGACGCTATCCTGTGGAACATCGTCAGCTGTTTTGCCATGTTAGTTTCTCTTCTGTGTTGTGTGCTGCTGGACATGACTTACCTTCACATCTTTTGGAAGCTGCGAGATTGGCGTCGACACCAAAGAGAATGGATGGTCGGCGTAAATGGGGGCCATTGCGTAGGTCTGACGGCAATGATACAACAGTGGTCCAAAAAAAAAAAAAAAGAGGCGATGCTTGATATCTTGACTTGCTGAAGCCAGGAGCTATTCATGATTCTGGTGAATAAACCACCGGGTTTTATACAGCTTCAAGGCTACACAATCGTAACCTAGGCCACGCAAATAGTTGAAGCTCATGATAACACGCATAGTTTCATGTGTTGTTTGCGCGAGGTGAGAACTAGACTCTTTCACATTACAGCTGTCCTAATCTGGACACACCTTCACGACGTAAAATGCGGACATCAGCAGCCACGCCCAGATCTGACGAATTGAATCCAGGTGTCTTCGCGGCAAAGCCGTCGGCCCAATTAGAGCGGGCCACTATTGTTGAGGCTGTCGAGCTGAAATGAAGCAAAAAGGCGAGACCGTCGTTGAAGTAGCCGATGAAGATGCCTAATATGCCAGAAGGGTAGTCAGCTTGATCACACGCGCATGAGCGCAATCTGGATATCGTGGCTGCCAAGAGATGAGATACCCAGTGTAGGAGCGGATCGAATCTATCGCAACTACGCACTACGAAAGGGTGCCTTGATTTAGGCAGTAATCCCGTCGTGCAATTCTGCGCGCTTCCTCGTCTTGACTCAGTCAAAGACTCAGAGTACCAAGATGATGTCAATACCGTCTTCAAGATCTGCAATGTACAGTGTGCAATTGATCTGGCGTGCGATGGTCAACCGCCAAGCATAGGTGGTCATTGTCACAGTGCGACACCCATCGCGACTTGACCGGGATATCGCGAATAGTGCCCAATCAGTCGCCCACGATATCAATTATAGTGGGCTCTCCCAAGTGCTGGGCCGGATGCGACGGACAGCCGGGATCCGGGCCGGTCACGTGCACAGTTGCAGCGGAATCAGTGAGGCTACCGCTAAGCCCGCTGGAGGAGGCACCTGGCTGACTGAACCTGGGCTGGACTGGGCGGGCAAGGGGGGCCGCAGGCAAAAAATCACCATTACTCGCTTGTCTCCATCTCCTGGATCGCGACTCGACTGTCGGCTCACGAAAAGCATAGCAGACCAGAGGAAACCGGCCGCGGGTGCCTCGCAATGCAATGGACCAGATCGAGTCGCAGGTTAGCGACCTGCACTATTTGACCCAAGCAGCCGTTCCTCTGCCACCCGACCGCGCTGCCTCTGCTTATTCTCCACACAATCAACAAGCCCATTCTCCTCTTTCCGCGACCCCCGGAGACAATTCCGCGAACTCAGCAGGGGGAGCCCGCGCCTCGATAGGTCCCTCTGGCGGTACTCCCTCCGTCTCGGGAGGCAATAAAAGAAAGTCTGAAGACGAAGGTGCTGCAGCCAAGCAGCAGCGAAGCAAACGGAATAGGGTGCGTTGTCTCTTTATCTTGTTGCAGTCCTCTGGGAGCTGGTGTGCATGGCTGGCTGTTTGTCGTATGCCATGCCTCCACCCACGTCCCCTCCAGACCGACGCGGACTTTTCCCGTCACGTCCTCTCGTACACACTCTCTCCCTCCCCGTGCCATGCCCACCCCCCTCTATAAACTTTGTGGAACTTCGGGACGCTGATGGCGGTTGTGACAGTATATTTCGATAGCCTGGTAAGGTTTCCTCCGGTCCCTTCGTACCTATCGAGTGTCATATCGTTGCCGGAATCATCCATCGCTGGAGCAATCCGTCGGCGCAATGTGACCGCCTAGCTCTACTTATACCTCGTCTATACGGCGATTGACTGGTGGATCATGGCACGAACACCAAATCACTAACACACTTCCTCCCCTCGCAGCAACGAATGCAAGAGACGCAAAATCAAGTGCAATGGCGAAACTCCCTGCCAAAGATGCGGCAACCTCAACCTGGCGTGCCTGTACGCCCCCAACTGCTGCTCCAACAACTTCAAGGACTCGGATGAGTTCAAGAGCATGACAACTCAGATGGCCCGGCTACAGGAGCAGGTCGACAATCTCTACCAAAGCATGAATGCCCTCCGTTCCGAAACGCTGCGTCTTGCGCCCATCCAAGACAAAGTATTACCTTTCCCTTCGAGCACCGTCCAGGCGTCACCAGCCAGCTCGCTGTCTTCCGTCCACCGGCCCGAGTTGACCAAACCAAAGCAGGCACCCTTCCGTGGCCCTACCAGCATGGCCTTCAACATGGACGTCGCAAACAACACCATCCACAACATGGGCTACAAAGGCATCGGGGATTCCGAGGACCAGAATGCTCCGTTTGCCATGCCCGAGGACAGCCCTTTCCGCCTTGGACCCCAGGAGAACCCCACTGATCCCTTATGGGACTTCACCAAGGATGAGATGATTCGTTTGTGTCGTCTTCACGAGGAGGAGGTCGGCATCATGTACCCTGTCATCAATATTCCGTCCGTCATCGAGCATGTTCGCAACCTTTGGTCTTACATGGAGTCGGCAAGGAAGCAAGGCGCCATGCCGTTGATCAATGATGACAAGACTCTTCAGCTCAAGATTGTCATGTGTTGTGCTCTCGTGGTGGAGGAGCACGGGCACAGCGAAAAGGCCATCAAGCTGATCGACAGCATGGACGCCGTTGTCAACCGCAAGCTGATGGTGGACCCTGTCGACTTCACCAGCCTGCCAGCGCTTTGTCTGCTCGCCGGCTACAAGTTTCTGGCCAACGAAGAGATCGCAGCATGGCGCGTCATGGGTCAAGTTACCAGGCTGTGTTTGGAGATGGGCATTCATCGCCAACAAGGTCTCATGGCTATCAAGGATGAGGAAGAGCGAAAGACTGCCCTCAGCAGTTTTTGGTCGGCCTACGTTCTCGACAGAAGGTGGGCTTTCGCAACGGGTCTGCCATTTGTTGTCCCGGACGAGGAAATCGATCCGGACTTGCCGCTGCCTGTAAGTTGTCTTGTATCCCAGAATGACGCATGAGCTAATGTTTATAAGGAGCAATTTCCGTTTCTGGCTGCCATGGTCACCTATTCAAGACTGGGTGCCAAGGTTTGGCGTCAAGTGGCACATTTTGGCCCTGTTCTTGCCCGAGAACTCCACCATGAGGACATGGAGCGGTTGGACCAGGAAATTCTGTCCTGGTATGAGACTGTGCCTGAGGAGGTTAGAATGCGCAACTGGGACAAGGACAAAAAGTTGACCATGACCCCATCTTACAACCTGCAAAGGCTTCGGGTTTGGACGTATCTTCGATTCAACCAGGTACGTTTGCTCTGAGAGACTTGCTGCTGACGGGTGATGACTGACCTAATTTCAGATCCGCACTTGGCTTTACACCCCGATCTTGCATAGCGCTACTAGCATCATGAGCCATACAGTCCAGGCCCAACGCGTTGTTGATTTGGCGAAAGATACGATTCGATTACTCAACCACCTCAACAACACCACAAACATGTACCGCAAAATCCAGGTCTTCTACCATCAGTTTCTTACCTCGGCCATCTCTGTCCTCTTCCTGGCTGCCGTTCACGCCCCGGTCAAGTTTAGTGCCAGTGTCCGCGAGGAGTTTTACATGGCTCTAGAACTCGTCAAGGATCTATCTGCGAAGAGTTGGGTATCCCAGCGTCTGTGGCGCACCATTTCTTCCCTTAAAGAAGTCGCCCCAAGTATCGGCCTCCGCAATCAGGCTGACGAAGACCCGCACAATTCCGCAGCACTCGCTATGGCTGGGCTTGCGACCGGCCGCCTGTCAACAGACCCTGGACCCATCGCACCATATGGCCGCTCAATGGCATCAGCGGCACCTGCGATGCCACAACCGCAGCCAACATCCAACATGGACGGCCTTCCGTCACCAAGCAACGGGACGCGTATCCAAACCGAGATGAGCAGGATCTTTGAAGGCTATATGGGACTCAACGGCTACTCTACAGGGGATGACAGCTTTGGAGGGGTGTCCAGTGCGGAGTTGACCCCAACGACAACTGGCATGCCGAACCCTTATGTTGACAATGTCTTCTACCATTTCCGGGAGATGTTCTAGCCGCTGTCGGCCAAGCATTCTTTTTCTGTATTGATAGCGGCTGCCATTCAAGGCAGAGTTCTTGCATTTATACTACTTGCTGTAAATGCTGTTCGTATTGTCATGCATTTCAAGAAAAGCAGACTAATGTATACCAATCTTCATCCAAATCTACCAACGCGCTGTTCACAAGCCAAACCACTTCAAATCCTGGTCTTCTTGCACGGGCACAGTGTGTCCAACACCCTGGGCAGAAATTCCCACAAGTTTGGTCCCGTCTCCATAGACTATCTGCGTATACCCGCTCAGAGGTGTGTTCGTATTATTCTTGGTAAAGCTCACTCCGTGAATTGTAGACCACTCTTTCAGCTGCTCTGCCAGATTGGGGTACGTCACCAGAGTATCAGCTGTGCCGTGGAACGTTTGCATACGCGGGTAGCTACCGTTGTACCCAGGAAACATGGCGCGTACCTGAGCAGCCCACTCCGCGCCCGTCTTGATGATCTGCCCGTTTGCACAACTCGGGTCGGCGCTGATGGGGCTCGATCCAGGAGAGCCAGCGAGGCACCCAGCCGCCACACCGGAGTAGCAAGACGCCGCGGCGAAGAGATCCGGGTACGTGGCCGAGAGGACATTTGTCATCATGCAGCCCGACGAGCTTCCCGTCACGAAGATCTTTGTGGGGTCGGCGGAGTATTTGCTGATCGTGTAGCGGATCATGTTGGCCAGGCCGTTCGAGTCGCCACCGCCATCGCGAGTGAGGCTCTTGGTCGAGGCGACGTCCCAGCAGTTGAAGTCCTTGGTGGAGGAAGGGTAGATTACGACAAAAGTTCCCTTTGAGTCAGACAAGGGGATGTATTCGGCTTGACGGGAGTAGGCCGCGCCCGAGCCGCCACAACCGTGGAGTGCGAGAATGATGCCCGGCGAAGAGGACAGGGTCGGTGGTATGGAAATATCCATCGTTAGGCCAGTTGGATTGGAGCCGAAGTCTGTGATGCGCTGGAGAGCCGCGTTGGCTGCGCCCAAAACGGAGGCGAAGAGCACGGCAGAGGACAACATTGCGAAAATTGTGTGAATCTGGCGTTTGCTTAGATGTTTGGCTCTACTGGTAGTGCCTGCTTATACTCCCGAGTACGAAGGATAGTCAGGAGTCTTTTATAGACGAGTATTCTCCTTGAAGATTTTGCCAAGTTTTCACGGAGGATCAACGCCGAATTAGCCAAATCACCGGCCTCGGCTCAACTGAAGGAAACGAGATTGGAAGGTCTAGATGTGCCTTGATGTTCGGCTATCGTCACTTTGCAAGGCGAGGATACGCAGTACGCGGATTCGGACGCAAATTGAGAGGGGCACATCAAATTTGGCGTTGCATAGCATCCGCGTGGCTGCGCGGCTATTCAGGGCGAACGTTGCGATTTGCTGATGGGTGCCACCCGTCCCTGCTTATCGGCAACGGTGGTCGGTAGTTGAGTCTAGCGGCTGATTCTTGGCTTTGCGAAGGATATATTACTTGTGACAGACGATTGGTGGTATATGTCTAGGTTTGAAAAGGAAGGAGATATTGGTGTCGACCGTTTTGGGAAAATGTGGTTTACGGGGGAAGGCGGGAGGCTGTGACCCCGCAATGCGCCGTCAGGGGCTGCCGAGGCTTGGGGTGTTCAATTCAGCGTTGCATCTTGGGACGTGTTTGTGAGGGATTGACAGCAAAAGAAAGAGATGAGGTCAGAGCTCCGAGGGACCGAGAGCCTCGGGTTTCTTGCCGGAGCAGATGGGCCCGCTCTTGATCGGTAGCCGGCGCCGGGTGGGACTGATTCGTCGGCCGTGCTGTCGGTAGTTTGATGTACCCCTTCTTGGATGATTGATTCAGAGGAGAGACCATATTTTTAGCCAATTGACTTGCACCTCAAATGGACATTGCATTAAGACTTCGCCCGACGCCCGGCCGCTCTCCTCGAATGAGAACGGTCAAGAAAGGTGGGACGAATAGGCAGAAGCGAGGGGAGTTGGTGCAGTGCCGAGACGTGCATGCCAGGGCGCGTAAGATTTGACTCATGGAAGATTCTAGTCATACTGAGTTGACATCAACCTGCATCAAAAACACTGAGGACTTACTGGCAGCTCAAGAGTCAGCAATTGTTGTTCTGATGGCTGCTGCACGATGCCCTTGAGTTCTCGACATCTTAGTATCTGGATGCGCCATTGGTTGATCGACAGAACCCAGTGTCTCCGAGAAACCGAAGACAGCAAGAATATCGAATCAGGTCATTTACAACAATCGTCAATATGGTAGAGACTGTATCCAACCCCCCGACAGAGGTGTTTCGACGAATGGAAGCGGGAGGGAAGGACCTCGACGACTGCTGCAATAACGAAGCTCCGTTCTGCAAACTTCAGGACCTGCCACATGACATTCATTGCCTCATCTCCTCCCACCTTCAATACCGAGACGTCCTGAGAATGTCCGTCACCAACAGATTTTTCCACCAAAACCTCAACCCCAAAACCTTGTTGCCCCGATCGGTCCAGAACAGGTTCATCGGAGAGGTTGACCTTGGTCTCTATGTTGGCAAGACCAAAAGATGGGCATGCTTTGGCTGTCAGCAATTTCTCCCGAAAGAGGCCTTTGGAGACCGAATGCGTAAGAACAAGCAAGACAAGAGGGGAGCCAAGATGAGCCGCTTGGGTCTGCGGCGATGTTGGACATGTGCCATCGAAGAAAAGCTATACGAGCACCTTCAATCAGTCACAAAAGATGGAGAGTACTTCTTTCTTTGCCACAAATGTGGTCGCATGCAGACTGGGTCGATGAGATGCCGTCTCCAACATGAAGTCTACCCGCATGCGACAACCGGCAAATCAGACGTTACGAAGTCCACGGAGGAAATCGACCAGTCAGCGAGAGTTTCTGGTGGAATCATAGAGACCACGGTCTGTAATGATGCCTCCAACTCTTCCTGTCCGCCTATCCAAAGACTTCCCTCCAGCGTGCTCGAGGTGGTTGTCCAAAACATCGACATGATCGATGCGATACACCTTCTTCAGACCAATCGTCATATGAATAACACCATAAAGACGAGGTGGGTGCCTCTTCACAAGCGCTTTCAATTTGTTAGGCGGCGGGAACCCGGAGTCGACTGGTTTCGCGTAGACGCTGACTTCGATGCTTCCTCCGTCCTGAGGTTTGCGTGCTATGCCTGCTTCACTGTCAAGCCGCGTCACAAGTTCCCCGACAAACAACGTATGCTCTGGAAGACTAACCCCTCTACGTTCTGGAAGATGCGGTGTGATGCTTGCGTGGACTTTCTCTACAACACGGAAAAGGGGAAGGAGGCTTTGCGAGAGTTCAACCTCCACGAGATTTGCGAAAGATGCTCTTGCTTGAAAGAGAGGGGCAAGCCGTGCTGCAATTGTATCGAGAAGTTGTGTATCGATGATCACAGCTAAGTTAATCTTGCAGACGTTTTCTAAGATTAATGCGCTGCCCACGGTCTTGAGAAGCCAGGCTGTACGTTCCCTGCGCTCGGTTGTGAAACGAGAGACGACCACTTTAATAAGGAATTCTGCTCGCGCGCGTTTGGAGAACGTGTTTCTCCTACAACATCACGACTTGTCCTGCAGCTGCCTGAAGATAAGTGGTTGGATTTGAATACAACCGTGTCTGCTACTTGTAGGTATATAGGAAGAAGTCCATTCATTGCGAGTACGAGGTAGTGATTTGAACTTTGTCTGTTCACTATTTTCTGTCCCTTAACCTCCTCCACAGTCCCATTACAGTTTGGTCAGTGTATGCTACCGCATGGTTATTGTAGCTGCCACAACGTGGAAACACAATAGACCATCCTAGTTTCCAGGTTACCGACCGTCTTATAGAGAAACTTTGCGGTAGAAAGTCAATGGGGGACAGGGTCGGCGAGGTGAAACTATGACCGGGTCGCACTGTACACCTGTCTGCTCAGGTACGCGATGACCATATACTTGAACCCTTCGCATGCCCAGATACCAAACTCTTCGCCTAGCTGGGCTCTTAGCTTACATTCGGCTTTGCTGAGGATTCTCAAAACCACCACCGGAACAAGAAACCCTTTGCGAAGTGCAGACGGAACATGTTGCTTTCCTAAGGCAAGTAGTCGTCGATGAGCTTAATGTCGGAGTTGCACCCCGTGATGATGACATTGAAATCGTCCACCTTCTTTGAGTCCTCCAAGTAGGCCAGTAACCATCCTTCCCCGTGGCGTGGAGCTTCCCCGGCGATACACGACCTCAATTGTGATAAAGCCAGCTGAATACATTCGTCGCGTTCGTCGCGTGTCTCGTATTCCCCTGAAGCGATGAAATTAAAAGACTATGCAAACGATCTTAGGGGTCGTAGTCTGAAGACGTTGTCACTACGCAAACGCTTACGAGAACGCCGCATACCTACCGAAGAGCTGTTGATAGCTCTACTAGTGCTACTATGTCACCAACTAATTCATCTTCTAAAGGCGTCAAACTAGATGATGTGGCCTTGATAATGATTACTAGTTCTTCGGCACCTTCGGTTATTGATAAACTCATATCTTTGTCCCAGTCCTTGATCGTAACCTCAAGTCTGGGCCTTGGCATACATGCTGTCTGCCGTTCAGCTCCTGACTTCGTTTACCACAGAGATGCTTGTGTTATAAATATCAAGTTCCGAACGCGCGCTTTTGCCCGGTCTGTTCCACCCTTGTTTGAGGGATGCGTGCGTACGTCCTACAGGACACCTAGGCCGTCAGAACCCTCCGTCGGCTGCTTTCTTCTCGAATCCAAGCGTCCAAGTTCTTTGAATGCTCGACGAGACTCATTTACAGTCAATAATTGGAAGCCCTCGTACGCAGATAGTCCTGCTTATGTTTGGCATATGAACGGTGTTACGCTGGCGGATATTGCAAGAAAAGAGACGGGTGCATTGGCCAATAAGCGCAATTAGGTCTACATTTTGATACCGCGAGCCGAGATGTAAGCTTATTGGCCCGAGAGAAGCCCGGAAGCGAACGCGGCGGAGTATCGGGTCTGGTAGGATGTAATTACACTGATATGGGTGCATACTGAGATCAGGGGAACCATACAACAACAAGACACTCTTACACATCCAAATCCAACGAGATGAAGTCAAACTAGCGTTTAACAACCCTCAATTTCTACATAAAGCAGATCATTCAATTCCATGATAGAGTGGCGGATCGACGTGCCCGAATGCCCACTGCAGCAGGGCGGAGGCGGAGAACATGATGCACTGGGGTCACGACATGGAAGTAACCTTTCTATCCGGAAAGTGGGGAAAGCTGTATCACCGGACACTTACAAATGGAACTGACGGTGATTTGATCGTCTTGATTCTGGTATTCGCTGTCCCGCTCTAGATTCCCTTCAAAGCACGATCTCTCCATGCAAATAGCCTAGACAACTTCATTCTCCATTTCCAAAGCTTTGTCCGCAGCGGGCTCCTTTGCGCGACTCGGATTGGTTTCCGTGTCTTCGTATGGGTTAGCCCCCATATGTTGCCACGTTCGTTTGATCATCAAAGTCACTTCCTTCTCCTTTCCATTGATCAATAGTTCAGTGTCGCCACTGCCAAAAGCGGTAATGGATTTGTGCTTTGCTTGGGTCAGCGGTGAAGCATTTTTATGCTTGTAGTTCTCAAAACGTACCAGGCCTAGGGTCAACTTGATCACTGCATCAGCCCAAGCAGGCTGATAGAGATACGATGGTTTCTTCCCTTGGAGAGAAAGTACAAGATTATCCGCGGCAAACATGGCCTGCTTCATAGCTGAACGAGCGTTCGGGTTCGTGACTCCTGTTTCAGCAACATCTCCACAGACATAGATGTTGGGAAGTGAGTCCACGTTAATCTGCATTGTCGGCTTGACCTTGATGCGCCCTGATTTGGCGATGGCCTCGGGCGCGAGCTCACTCACTAAGTGAGAGGATGGTTGCTGGCCAATGGCGTTGACCTAAGAAACGTCAGAAAAATGGCCCCAGCCCAGGTAGCCCTCGGTGGCGGAACTTACTAAGAAGTCACACTCAAGCTTTCGACCAGATCGAAGGGTAACGAACCCATCGACTGGGACATCAGTGGTTGTGCGCTCGCCTAGGATGACTTCGACACCGAGATCTTCCAGACCTTTGTGAGCCCCGGCCTGAAGTTCAGGGCCAAAACGGTTCATGACAGCATCCCTTGAATGAACCAGGGTCACGCTCTTCTCAGGATATTGATCCTTTGCGTCTGTGGCAAGTTCAACGCCGGCAGCACCGCCACCAACCACGACCAGATGCTTTGCAGTCTTGATGCGCTGCTGAAACTCTTGCAAAAGCTTGACGCCTTGGTTTTTGTCCGTCGAACCAACTCTTGAAGGCAATGACATGTCGACCCCTGACCCAGTAGCAATAACCATGTGAGAGTAAGGAATCTCTTCGCCGGTTCCTTTTATCGTGACTATCTTCTCACTGATGGTTGATACCCGGTCATGAATCCATCGCACAATTGGGGAAGATTCGGCGGGGAGATAGGGGCCGTAGGGAATAAAAGTCTTTGCCTCATGGCCCTCGACTACGCAGAATCGTGGCAGAGTCCACGTGAACTGCCAGTGGCTATTTGGCTCAATAATGATTAGGCGATAGGGGCCATCCGTTGGGAGTGACGATGCGATGAGCCGGGCGGCATGGTATCCTGCGAATGATGCGCCGACAATGACGATGTTGATGGTTTCCGTGGTTGCATCCTTGGATTCTGTTTTGGAGGCGATCTTCTTCGTCGTGTAGGCACGCGCGAAGAAATCTGCGTAGAGGCGCAAGGAGTACCCGATTAGCCTTACGAAAAGAAGGACTTTCTTCGCCTTCTTGAAAATTGCGGGCATTTTTTGCGCGGTCACAAATCTGAGAAAGTAAATATCTTTTGAAGTTGGGGGCAGTTGCAGCTGAGATCTACGGCCAATGAGCTCATTTCCAGGGGACGAGGACGAAGCGCGAAGGAGAATGAAGAATGGGAGGGCATGACAGCAAGCAGCCGGTGGGACGGAAATCACTAATACTTATCAGATGGATCTGATAAGATCCCGAAGAACGTACCATGAAAGGCACCATCCGACGGTAGATTCGGTCTCGAATTGACCGATGTCGCTTCGGCCGAAGGGTCTCTGACGGCCTTGTATTGCTAGCGCTGAGAGAGGCGCCTTGAACGGCTTTAGGTCCCGGAATTTCGACCGCTTCGCTTCGGCCTCGGGTGAACCCCTGCAAGAATGAGGGTCACGTCTCTTCACGCTCTGTGGGATCATCGCGGGATCTTTCGCTCGAAAAAGAAACCTCGTAAATTTTCGCAAAGTGAACAAAAGGGAGAGGAACCGGGAGGGACCCAGCTGAACGAGCTGAACGAGCTGAACGGGAATCTAGTGCCATGATGTGGACTAGCGCATGATACAAGCAGGACTCACTCCGTCAGTACGTCTGATGTTCGATTACGTACAGAGCACTCATTCCTCGGCCCATGCAATGATTATGCCTGCAGCTTTTCCGATCTCGCTCAGTTTGGTTAAGTAGAAAGGTGTATACGATCACTTTGAACAGAGTTATGCCGTTTAGGCCATAATATGAGCGAAAGGTAAGTCGCTTTCACAAGCATTTCCGGACCTGCAAAGGGCCCAACGGGGAGTGATGAACCAGGCCACCAACCAGCGGTTACCGAGAGTTCCGTCAACCGAACATCTTGGCGACCTGAAGCCCCTGTCCTGGACCCTGGAGCTCACCTTAATTGTCGTGCCGAGCACCGAAATGGGCCATCCCCGTGGCGAGTCATTAAACCGACCGACCGCGAACAGAAGCAGGCGTGTCTTCTCTTCGTTCTCCAGAACACCGGGGGAAGGGACTTTTGGGAAGAAGCATAGTATGCTAGTCGCAAATATTAGCTACAGGGAAATCATCCGAGGTCCGAAATGCATGTACATGTACTGTTGCCCAAAACAAGAACGCCATAAATGATACGTGGGAGCTAGACCTGCACCTCCTGCACCTGCACCTCGATGGCCACAGTACCGCTTCCAGGCTTCTTCTCAGCCGTTACGGCATCTACAACGGGCGTGGCGGGAAGCCTCTTCACTTCACTGAAAGGAGGGTAGCCCGCCGCGCGCCACTCCTTGAAGGTCATGCCGCCAGCGCAAGCTGGCATCTTGGCCATCAGGGGCACAACATGGTCCTCAGATGCCCCCGTTACCTCGGGCTTGTGAACGACCTTCTCGTCTAGGGTCTCGTACCCCATCTTTTCGTAAAGCTTGTATGTCGAGGGTGATGACTCGAAGTACAGGGGGATTCCCAGGCTGTCACTGAGTTCCATGCCCCACTTACACCAGAGCGCACCGACCTTCCTGCCCTGGTGTTTGGGGTCGACGGCGATAATGTGGCTATCTGTGATCCCTAGGGTCAGCATATTGCCAAGAGAGATCACCGTTAAGGTTGTTGCGACTCACAGATGTAACGGCGTCCACCAAAGAGCTTCTCTCTCACATCGTGCAGGGGGTTGAGAATAGCCTCGGCCCGCTCCCTCTGCTTGCCCTCGAGCCAGGTGGCACCGTGGTTTCTGCGCTCCTCCTCGCTGCGCTCCTTGAGATAGATGTCGCCAAGGGCCATGCCGACAATCTCTCCTGTCTCAGTATCGACGCACTTGTAGGTGTACTGGTAGTCGCAGTGATGCCACCAAGCTAAAGTGCCCTCTTTGTGCGCTTTGCGAAACTCTTCAGAGTCTGTGCCGCCTGGGAAAAGAATCTCTACCATGATCTCGCCCATCTCGTCGTGCTTGAAGGCATTGAAGTAGACATCAAAGACCTTCTCGATGTCTTGAATCAAGGCGGGGAGGATAGCGTAGCCCATGGTGAGCAGAATGTAGAAACCAGAAGATAGTTGGAAAATAGTAATTCGTCAAAACGGAGCTGGAGTGCAGAGAAGATCCAGGAAGATGGTAAATCAAGAGGTGAGCCAAGTAAAATTTCTATGACAAACTCCCTTCATATATACTGCACGCTTCTGGGACTTCATGGAAGCAAACGGCATCCGAAAGCCCCGCCGATGCCCAACCGGTCAACTCTTTCAAAGGATCTTGATTCCATCAAACCCCAAATCAGGTCCTTCTGTTGGTCTGGCCATCTCCTCTCCGGGGGAAACGGTCAGCTCCGTGGACACAACACTCAAGAGGCATCCAAGATACCCAGCCCGCTAGTCCCTCGTCCCATGCGAAATGATCCCGCCAGAGTCTGTTTTGCGGCGCTGTCCCGGCCCCTTGTCTAGACCCGTTTAAAGTTATCAGATCCGCATTTCTAGCACCCAAAGGCTTTTTTCCCACGACCTCGTGTTCCCCCCGCTTTACCACACCCTAGTCCTGGTCTTGGCTCTTTTGTGGCAATGTCTTCATGGAGTAGCTGCAGATTTTGCTACGCGAACAGCATGAGTCGATTCCGCTCTCCCAAGCGACCGGAACGGCCGCATCCCTGGCGTAAATTAGCCCAACGGGCAGGCGAATCGGCATCAATCCACGAATGCCCTAGTTATCTGTTGCTACGCCCGAATCTCCACCGCGTTATGGGCTTTTTTGTCTCGACCAACAGCGGCGGCATCAGGGACACCCACTGCACCAACAGCCTTCTCAACCACGAAAGACGCCAATAATTGTTCATAGGTGCAGCTCAGATATATGGAGCGCCAAGAATTTTGCAAGCGAGCAGGATATATCACGCATCGCCTCTCATTTGGTGGCATTGACGCCACAAGAAGACGTTGATGTTGGAATTAACGCTAAATCTCAGCTGGCGTGCCAAGTCAAGTTATCTGATCCGTCTCGCTTCCGATCATGCCGTTATCTGATCCATCAGTTTGACTCGGCTTCCGGCCTTAATGACCCTAAGTTAGCCTCCCTCCCGGAGCATGGATAAAATTGGGACTAGCGGTGACCTGTATGACAGGGTTGTGGTTCGTCGAGGTTGCATTTGTCTAAGCGAGGGGACTGAGATTCAAAAAGTTCGTTGCATTTGGCAGCTTGCTTGGCGCCTTCTTTTTCCAGCAAGAGACTCACTCTTCAAATGGGGAAATGCTTTCGTCTCATGTTGGAACTGGGGTGTTCAAGAAGAAATGGCATCCATGCCAAGATGGCCTGATCGTGCATTTGCGCCCACACCATGGTGGAGTTTGCGCCCTGCCAGTGTGTGCACCAGGCTTGCCAATAAATGATTTCCTTGCAACATTGTTGTTGGTCGGCAGCCACCGCATCAGATTGGAACGGAGCGCCCCTGCTCCAAACCAATCCGTTCTGTTTCCGTCAAGGTTCTCTGTGACCTGTGATCTTGAAAGAACAGGCAATATCTGTTGGTACCCTGTAGGAAGAATTGTCTCTTTCTAGAACGCCAAGGAGGAAAATTTGGGGAAAGAAGAGGAAGCTGGATCATGAAAACGAAGTTAAACACGTGTGTGAAGTACACTGAGTCTTTTGGCGACACCCAGAGTTGCATGTTCCTGCGACAATCCCCTGGGAACCTCTCAATGGCAGTGGTCTCTTAAAGTTGGGTTAGTCTTCGCCACACTGAGAGGCGCTACCATCGGGCAAATTTGACGTGGAAACTCCGTTTTCATTCCGTGATAAGTAAGCGAGGTGCTATCATTGGGTACATGTACGCAAGCATGGGAGGCAGCAGCCTCGTCCACCACCTGAGCTCATGGAGTGTATTACTATTCACTCAAAGAGAAGCTTCCACTTGAGATACCACTTCTCAGGCTCGACAGGAGTGTTGATTTCGGCCAAGATTTCGTCAATACCAGAGACCAAGTCAACCTCTGAGGGAGACAGAGCTAACTTGTCGCAACGTCCGACAGTGAACTTGTGGCCCAAGTAAAGGCACGCAAAGATCAGGATCCCGACATATGAGGTGATGAATGTGCTTATATCCCAGTAGCCCCTCACGAAAACCTTGTAACCATTCAAAAGCAGTAGAATGCTGAAACCGCAAGCACTAACCCAAGAGGAGTAGGGCTGGAAACGGGACCGAAATGGCATGTTTGCAATCCCTTGATGGTCGGCGGCCTTCCGGAATCGCATATATATGACGCAGCAGCAGATCCAACTTTGGAACGCGCCCGTGCTGATGAGATTAGCGAACCAGTTGAAGACTGCTGCTGCCGAACCGCCTCTGGAGATATTGAGGAACGCAAGAAGGCTGAAGAGTGAGCTGAAGCCAGTTGCATAATATGGGATACCCGAGTTTGTGCAGCGGGAGAAAATGGCCGGAGCGTTGCCAGCCTTCGCTAGAGAGTAAAGAGCTCGACTTGCGAGGTACAAGTACGAGTTGCCAGCCGACCATGCGGAAAGGACGATCATTGCATTGATGACGGAATCGAGACCTCTAATGCCAGCGTCACGGGCACCAATGGCCCAAGGAGACGCTGCAGCGCCGGACCCAGCAGATAACAACTGTTTGTGAGTGCTGGGGACAAGAATTCCAATCGCAAATGCGCCCAATATGTAGAAGGTGATAAGTCTGTAGAAGTAGCGAATGGTTGCCTTTGGAATGTTGGTTCTCGGACTTTCCATCTCTCCGCCGGTGATGACCATCAATTCTGGAGCGAAGCCAAAGGCATAAACGGAAAATGTGGTGCAACTGATGAAAGCGCAAAGATGCCCAACAGGTCCTTCAACAAGGTATGCGTTTATAGGTCCCGGGTTGCTCCAGTGCTTGAAGTATAGGGGCTCTGCAGGTCCTCCACCGAAGAAAAGCACCGCGGTCATGATGAGAAGACCTAGAATTCCGATGACTTTGGTCGACGCAAACCAAAATTCCGTTTCTCCATAGACGCGTACAGGCAGGCAATTACAAAGAATAATTACACCGCCTACGAGCACAAGCCAAACAGCGGTATGGACGGGGGGGTTCCAGTATTCGATAATGAGGGCGGTGACGTTGACTTCAGCCGGGACGGTGATTGCGAAGATATACCAGTAAACCCATCCCAGTGTAAAGCCCAGGCTCTTAGAAACAAATCTGTTTCCATAGTATGCCACAGAGCAACCTGGGACAGGCAGATAACTTGACATCTCGCCAGTTGCCGTTGCAACGCCGTATAGAAGAATTGTGATCGTCGAATACGCGAGCAAAAGGAACAAGGGCCCGCCCATTTGGAGAACCTGCCCTGACCCTACAAAAAGACCGGTGCCGATGGTGCCTCCGAGGGCTATCATTTGGGCGTGACGTGACTTGAGACCACGCTGCGTTTCCACAATACGGCCTGGCTCTTCGTCCACTTCTCCATGAGCTACTGAGGTGATCCGGGTTACCTCATTGTCCACTGGAACGTTGATTTTGCCGACATCTCTCTTATCCGAGGAATCCGAAGGTAATGACATTTTTGAGCTTTCTTCAACGGTAAAAAGACAAGATCTGGAGACACGAGGGCAAGAGCAAGTAGATCTAGAAATTTTGGGCTGCAGCATTGCAGAAAGGTTTGAACCTCTACATTTCGACGAGGGAGCTAATAGGCAACCTTTTCTACTTGCAAAGCTCATTCATCCGTACATACCATTAACAAATGATTGGACAAGATGCGTCCGTGGATACTTTCTACGTCGGTGAACTTAGGAGACCGAGTTGGAGAGAGGGGGATGGATATCAGATAACGGTGAGCCAGGGTGTTGATCGGTGCTATCAGCTGATGATGATAATGCTCACCACTGGCTTCGATAACACACACGTAGTAGACTTCCCCATGGGGAGGCATGGATAAGGATTGCCGGTAGTGATTGGGGTCAACGGGGGGTAATGGCCGTCCTACAAGGGCTAGGGGTTACGAGTCAAGAGATAAGCATGGGGGCCAGCATCGCTCACCAAGCTATCTTGTCATTCACATAGCTCAATGCCAGCACACAGCCAATAAGATGACGGTTATTTGAATTTGTGTTAATAATCATGGATTTTGGTATCGTTCTGAACTGGAAGTCGGCCAACACTCCAATATCCCGATGACGCTGGAAGCACACCTGCGGCCTCTCACCCTGTGAGAAGTAGATTCCCTGCCCATAGGAGTCATGGAACATTGCTTCAAATCACCGTAGAACGCCTTGAGATATTACAACGCGAGGAAGCCTTGATCGGATGCTCATGAAAGTGTCCGTGACTGTCAAGTATTGAGGCAGAACTTCGGTCTTTTTCGGGTAACCATGTCCTTCCAGCTTACACCGCCAACCAGTCAACAAGCAGCCCTATGGTTCCATGACATTCACGGCAGAAGAATGAACACAGAATAAACTTAGTTAGTAATTCATCTAAAGATGGTTACACACGGGAGAAAAAAGAAATTCCATCTGCTGTGCCAATTTCTGCTACTAACAATCTGAAAGCTTTGTTCTGCCCACACAACAAACTTGAAAAAGCCAAGATTATTTCTTGAAATCTCCCTTAGATAACTCCTCCTCCAGGTCATAGTACACCTGGAACTCGCAGTAACAAATCTCCGGATCGCTCTCTACATCGAAGTTGAAGTCGGCTTCTTCATCCGTGATCAGAACCTTCCCTAGGCCATTTGCCGCTGCTGCTTCTGCTAAAAGTTGGACCTGGCAAGACCTCTCCATGGATGTAAATAGAAAAGCGGCTTCATCAACCGTCTGTCCTACTGTCAGGATGCCATGATTTCTCAAAATGCAGCCTTTTCCATTCGGCCCTAGAGCAGCTGCGATACGATCGCCCTCTTCGCGACCCAGTACAACCCCGCCGTAGCTGTTATAAACGCTGTGTGCGTCTCTGCGGAACTTGCAAGCGTCCTGGGTCAGCATTTCGAGTCGTCTGCCAAAAACGGACCAAGCTTTCCCATGGACACTGTGAGAGTGGCAGACAGCATGGGCGTTCGGCCGGGCCTTATGCACTGAGGCGTGAATGAGGAAGCCGGCTGTATTCGGCGGTGCTCGACTACCTCCAAGGACAGCCCCGTCGAGACCAACGAGGATCATATCGCTGACCTTTAAGAGACCGAAGTGTCGGCCCAACGGGTTGGTCCAGAAAGCGTTGGGAAATTCTGGATCACGAACGGAGATATGACCACTCATGCCCTCAATGTAGCCTTCTCGGTACCAGTGCCTAAAGGCAGCTGCTATGTGCTCAAGCTGCCACTGCCGATGCGACTGGAAATCTGGGTGCCGTGGAATACCAGCAAGAACCACGTCTCCGTGGGACATGGCTTGAAGAGGAGTTTTGTTCTTGAGTTCGTGCCCATGTCTGGTGTGCGACTCCTTTCTTCCCTTCTAACTTTTTCTTCGCAGTTTGCTGCCTAGAGGCGCACCTTGTTAACTACTATATAACTCTCACGGGGAAATATTTAAGGGCTAGGATAGCCTAGGCTTTATAGAGAAACCTCTATAGCTACCTATAGGGGTATATAAAGAGAGTACGAATTACTAGGGGGTAGGTATCTCTCTCTTTATACTACTATAACTTATTATATTAAAATACTAAAGTAATACTATATTTATTACTTCTATAACTATTACTTTAAAAGTAGTAATAGTTTTACTTAGTTTATTAGAGAAAAAGAGGATAATATCTATAAGTTTTAAAATAGATACCTTTTCCCTTAGAATTATAATAGATTTAAAGAAGTATTATTCTTCTATTACTTATTAATATATATTATCCTCTATTAATATAGTTATTATAATCTATCTCTTCTTAAAATATTTAATAAGTTTAAAGATATTACTAAAGTATTTAAAAATAATAAAATAATTAATAACTAATATTATAAAGTAAATTAATTAAATTATTTAAATTAAGAGAACTTATTAGTAGAACTTAAGGTAATACTATAACTTAATAGGGTAGTAGTTAATAAGGGTAATTAGATATATAGGGGGTAGTTAGAGTAGGGGGGTCCTCTTATATATCCCTAGTTATATAAGTATTCACAAAAGAATTCTTTATAAAACGGTGCGACTCCTCTTTTGGCTTGATGCTGGGGATGTGCATCGTCGTAGCAGTGACAGTCGTTGAGGCCGTTGAGCTCATTGTCGCGGAATGGCGAGAATAATGACTAACGAAATTGTTTTGGATCGGTTGAAAAAACGAAAAGTGTTTGTCAGTTCCGGGATGATTTAGCCACTTTGCTTAAACATTTCCCACACAGTCTTGGTCCAGATTCCATTTAAATGATCTTTGACGCCCCAGAAGTATAAGTGGTATAGCACGTCTCACGTCCAAAATCGCTCAAACAAGCAAGCTTCCCCGGAAAGGGAGAGCGCTCAGATAGTTCGACCAGGCTCTCCTATGCCACTTGCGTCACACACCACGTCAGATTCTTCCACGGCCCCTCCGACTGGGAAGCTTTTCAAGCAGGACATCACGAGAAGAACGCTGAGATAGTAGGATGAGGAGCGTAATTGCACGTAAACATCCCAGAATCGTGCTCGTCAATTTTTCTCAAAGTTAGATTTCTACCAGAAAGCAGAGCATGGGTTTGCCGTCCTCGACAGAAACAGTGCAGTTATTGTATGGTACTAGGTGTTTTCTGTCATATTTCAATTAGGCAATCGTTGATGTATTGTGAAATTGCTTCCATTTTGGGCCAATAGGCCAGATACGGGTGTACAATGCCGTTCTAATCACTTGAGTAGAAGAATTGACCCTTGTTCTAACAAGCAAACTCTTCGACTGATTCCACACAAGATTAGGATTTCCCTAAAAGACAAGACAAGATATCCATTATGCCTCATGAAGTTACCTGAAAGTGCACGTATTTAACCAAAACTTCAATACGAAGCGCACGTATTTGACCAAGGATTTAATACGAAAAGAAAGCAGATGTCTACATCAATGGTTTCTTCCCTGATTCACAAGAAGTGACTCTCAGCTGTTTGAAACCGGCTGCTTGTAGATGATCATGAACTCCGCGAAAGACTAGCAAGCTTTGCTATGTAGGTGGATGGCAGCGATCAGAGCTTGTTTCCCATATTCACATGAACAGCCTTGATGTTCGTGTATGCTTCCAATCCAGCCTCTCCCAATTCCCTGCCAATACCGCTCTGCTTGACACCCCCAAATGGTACCCTAGGGTCACAGTCCTGACTACTATTAATCCAAACCATACCAGCTTCGATTTCCTGGGCAACACGGTGGGCTCGCTCGAGGTCGGTCGTAAATGCAGCAGCGCCAAGACCGTATGTAGTGTCGTTGGCCAAAGCAATAGCCTCTTCCTCTGTTTTAAAACGAAGAACAACCACAACCGGTCCAAAGATTTCCTCCCGAAAGATGCGCATGGAAGGCTTGACATCAGTGAACACTGTGGGGGCCACCCAGAAGCCCTTTCCGCTCTTATCTCCGGCAACGGTGGTGGGCTGCCCACCAGTAGCAACAGTGGCACCCTCCTTCTTTCCGATGTCGATATATTGGAGAACGCGGTCGTATTGAGCTTTGGACACTAAGGGGCCCTGGTATGTCGATGTGTCCCACTGGTTCCCCAACTTACTCACGGTCTTTGTCGTTTCTAAGAAGCTCTTGATGAACTTATCGTAAATTACATCCTGGACAAGAATACGGGAGGTCGCAGTGCAAATCTGTCCCTGGTTGGACATGATACCGAAATGAGACCATTTGACGGCTTGGTCCAACTCGGCATCTTCAAACACAAGAAGAGGTGACTTGCCTCCTGTTTCGAGGGTAACGTTCTTTAGCGTTTTTGCCGCATTGCCCATAATATCCACAGCAGTAGCCGTAGAGCCTGTAAACGCAACCTTATCAACGAGAGGGTGCTGGACCAGGGCTGTTCCAGTCTCTCTTCCACCGTTGACAACATTGAAGACACCTGGGGGGAAACCAGCTTCCTTAACAAGCTCGGCCAGAACCAAGGCACTCAAAGGAGTCTGGTCGGCGGGCTTAAGGACGATCGCATTACCACAAGCCAGGGCTGGGCCCAACTTCCAGATGGCCATACATAGTGGGTAGTTCCAAGGGATGATCTGGGCCACAACACCAATAGGCTGACGGATGGTGTACGCGAACTTTTCGTGGGTAGTGCTGATCGTTTGGCCGAACGACTTGTCTGCCCAGCCAGCGTAGTAGCGGACCACACCAACGGCTTCAACCAGGTCACCCTCGATTGCCTCCTTGTACGACTTCCCTGTCTACGTATAAGTATGCATACTCCTCGTATCGAAAGGGAATGCGACATACCGTTATCCCAAGCATCAATGGTAGCGAAGAGCTCTCGCTTTTGCTCGATGAGGTCGGCAAGACGTGACATCTTTAGACCACGGTCGGAAGCAGATAGCTTCTTCCAAGAATCGTGTTTGATGATCGCCGAGGCTGCCCTGACAGCTTTGTCCACGTCGGTCGTGTCCGCGGCCTGAACCTTGGCAATTTCTTTCTCAGTCCTATTTGGATATCAGCGATGATGACCGGAACCTTCTCTCGGCATGGCGGAGCTCACGCAGGGTCGATTGAGACAATGCTCTGGCCGCTGGAGGATGCGACAAATTCATTGTTGATGAATAGACCCGTGGGCTGAGTGTACTTCACCCCGTTGGGGGCTTGCAAGTCGAGAGATAGGGTCGGGGACATGTTGGGTGATTGCAAAAGTCGTCTACGCAGCATATGGAAAAAGGAAATGCGACATAAGATGTTCGTTGCAAGAGACAACTGGCAGTGACACGAGCATGAGCATTGGGGGGTAAACCCATTTGTATTGGCTTTGGAAGCTATCTTTGAAGCTTACATAGAAATGGACACTCCGGTATACTCGATCAGGATCGTGAACGCTTTCTCGTTCGAGAGCTCATGTGGTCAGCGAGCTGATCACTCTGAATCGCTTCTTGATCGAAATAACGATTCTTACCATCGTGGGTGCATCGCGTCTCAGTCGCGGGGTTACCCCGCGATTGTGCCTTTCTGTTTCTGGAACTGTGGTATCAACACCCCTGGCTGGGAAGGGAACATGCCTCGATATGCAGGTTGATCTTCTCTAGCAAGCTGTTGCAATCAGGCTTAGTAGGCTATCAGGCGTTATCCAAGACTTTTGTCAGGTGGCGTGGGTTTCCGGAAACAATGCCGTGGAAACCTTCCCGATCTGTTGTTGGAAACACGTTGCTCACGACTCCCCTGCCTGACTACTTTTGGCGCTGCGGGGTTCTCAACTTTCAAGACGCCACTGATTAAATTAGCCCGTGGAGACATGCCTATAACTGAGCAATCTGCTCTTGTCAACTCTGGATTTCGTTACGCCCAATTGATACCATTGTGCAATTCTATCTGCGCGCGGATACGTGGTAACGCCTGATTCAGCCTAGCAGAATTCCGTTCGCACTTTGTTCCCTAAGCCCACAAAGTCGGACCCCCTGAAGACTGTCAACAAATGCCTAAATCAGTCAGATACCGGGCCGAGCACAACCGGACATTCACTGGATGCCGCTCTTGTCGGGCCCGTCATGCCAAATGTGACGAGGGGAAACCAGAGTGCAACGCATGCATACGTCTAGGGGTCACCTGTGGTGGCTATACTCCAAGCTTGTCATGGATCGCAGACAGTGACGCCACCGGCAGATTGGAGCCTCGGGACCCAGAAACATCTGATTACCGTTATCCGCTTTTTTCTGGTACGCCTGGCCAGGTTCTCTTCGTACCTATATGCCGCTGACTCTGATTTGTATTTTCTAGATGCGGAACGTCGTGCAATGTGCGCCAGGCTGTCCAGGAGTCTCGGCTCGAAATCCGCAGGAAGCATTCTGGCCGACTTAGACTCGGCCTCCAAAAGCAGTGATACCAACAGCGATTTTAGTCTTGCTCAAGGCCCGTTCGGAGTATTTCGCATAGATGAGAGTGAAATGACTTCAATTGCCAGCCGTTCATCTTCATTTGGGTCGACACATCATACGACCTCTGACACAGATGACAAGGGAACGGAGGAGTCCATCGAACTCCCGAATGATCTCATCGAGTTCAACTGGTCACCGCCCGAACAGGACATAGACTTCCAGTCTTTCCTTGACAATATGGACCTTTCTATGGGCCATGACAATACCCTAAACTCTACCGAAGCTTTCACAGGCTCAATCTCTGACCTTTTGGCTGATATCCCAACCGATTTGGAGGTCATTTCGGACTTTTATCTTGCAGAGGAAGGCACCGGCCCCGAAAAGGACATGTCTATACTTAGGAGCGACACTAATGTAACCAATCAAGTTGCAGTCGGGGACACAGTCCCATCACCTCCTGTCTCAATCAATCTCGACGCAAGGTCAGATATGCCCGAACAAGCCCAGGCGCTATTGCGTTACTACAAGACTCACATAGAGTCTGCACCAACATGCATCCAATCCAGCAGGTGGAAGTCACCGTGGAAGCTTCTATTTCTTCCGTGCGCATTCGAGACGTTTGCAGAACTGTCTCTTCTCGGCGGCACATCGCACACTCGGTCGGCAATCCTCTGTGCACTTCTGTCTCACAGCGCCTTTCAACTTCACAAGTCTGGCTCAAATTCGCAATCGGACTATTGGCATAATCTAGGGGTCAAGCATAGGGACAGGGCCCAGAAACATCTGAGAAGCGCCGTCGAGACTGAGGCAAGCGACTCAGAGCAGACTAAGTACAAAGAGTTGTTGATGGCCTTCATAGCAATGGCAATGATATCGGTGAGTAGACACCAGTGGACTGACTAGCTAGAGGTTGCTGACCGGCTGGAAAGATCTACCAAGGAAATCGAATCGCAAGAATCTTTCTGCTTGATGCAGAGCGACTGATCAGGGTCCGAGGCTTGGCAGAAGAGAATCCCGAACTCATTCGCGTACTTCATCACGTGTACACGTACCTTCGCGTCATTGCGGAGGGCATATATGCTCTAGATGATGGCTCGAATGATTCCGAGCAAGCTGAGGCTTTCCCCCAGGTTCCTGAATCTGGTTCATTTCGGATTAGCGAGGATCTGCTCAACATGGGACTCGACCCTGGTGTCGAGAAGAACTCGAAAGTTGGATATGGTGACATCCATCTCCAAGTACAAGGGCGCTGGAAGGAGACTCTGCATTCTCGAATCCACGGCATTCCGGAGTCACTCATGACACTCTTATCGCAAACGATATCTCTTGCAAACGAAAAGAACCGTCTGGAGACTCGTGCCAGATGCGACCCGAAGCTGGCGGCCGACTTGAAGCACCACATCAAGACTTTGGAGGAAAGAATTTGGACTTGGTCTTCGTCTTCCGAAGTATCGATGATTCTTACCGGCGATGTGTCATTCTGTACAAAAGGTCCCAACCTTGTTTGTCATCCTCGGAACCAGGCGATGATTTCGGCGATTCACCGAGCATTGATTATCTACTTCTACCGTCAGGTACACGATGTCAGTGCTATGATACTTCAAGACGTCGTGCGGCAAGCTCTGGAACACCTAGAATCATGCATTAGTGAAATGATCAACAGCGATGACTTTGCTTTGAGTCTTGCGTGGGCGGCATTCATCTGCGCTCGCGAGGCAATCTCGCCGGACCTTCAGAATAGAGCTAGACACATCATTTCCATCACAGACAGCCGAGGTGTTTACTTTACGTCAAGACCAGCCATGGAGGTCATCTCATCGTTGTGGGCTAAGCGGCAAGCTGTGGGAGGCATCGACCTCGGAGGCAGTGTGCAAGCCTCCGATATTCCATGTTCTGTGTGAATCATCATTGGATGTATGATATGTCATCTTTCAGAACTTTGTCTTACGAAGTTTGGTATCTATAAGCTTGGAAACGCCAGAAATTGATCCTTAACAATATCATTGATCGAAAACATCGACGGGAAAGCACAAGCTGGATGCCGAGTTCACGGGAAGGACTTCTTGGTTTGATCACATGGTAGGCTAATGAATGAAAAAAAGGTGACGAGGTTCTGTGCGTTCTGTCTATAACTGATGGTTTCAAACACTTATTATTGGACATCAATGCAGAAGATTATAATTACAATGGAACGCCAGCCTTCTTGAGCAGAGCAGTCAGCTCTGCCTTGTGGTTGTCTTCCAGGAGAGCAAACGGCTTCCTAACTCCACCCGTTTCCCAACCGCGCACTTCCATGCCCGTCTTAACAGCCGATGAGTAATGGTGTGACTCAAGGAATTTGGTAATGGGCCAAATCTTAGCCCAAATCTCTCGACCCTTTTGAATATCATTCTCAACTGCAAGAGCATTCCAAAGCTCGACAGAGAGCTCGGGGATGATGTTGGTCGCACCCCAGACAGATCCGGTAGCTCCGGCCGCCAATCCGTAAAATGTAAGGGTGTCCCAGCCGTTAAAAGTCGTAATGCGATCTCCAGTAGTGAGAAGAAGCTCGGTGAGGGCCGGAGCATTGCCGGACGTGTCCTTCATGTACTTAACACCGACCTCTGAGAGGCCAGCAATTTCCTCAACTGAAAGGTTGACACCACTAGCGGATGGGATATTGTAGTACATAATAGGCAGACCACTAGCGCTATGAATTTCCTGAAGCAGACCGCGTAGCTGCTGGAGGTTGGGAGGGTCGTAGAAAGGGGGCACAACCATAACGGCCTTAGCGCCAACCTTTGCAGCGTGAACTGCATGGTCGATTGCGCCGGTAGTGGTCAAGTCGCCAGCTCCAGCAATAACAGGGACGCGACCAGCGGCCGCTTTGACGCAGACCTCGATGACGGTCTTACGTTCCTGAACCGTAAGGGCGGTAAATTCTCCAGTGCTGACCCCGGGGACAAGGCCGTGGACGCCGGCCTCGATTTGTCGGTTCACATGCTCTGCAAGGGCGGTCTCGTCGACGGACCCATCAGGCTTGAAAGGTGTAATGAGGGCAACGAGAATACCCGTGATGTCGTTGTGCTTAGGGGCGAGCATGGTGAATGTTGGGTTCCACGAGATGGAGATAAGGGATGGTATGATGGCAATAAACTTGAAGTTTTGAACTGTGTGAGGATGAGGAGGTTGCTGCTTGATTGATCAAAGGGATAAACCTAAGAATCACTAGGTATTATATATATTGTCCTGTCTATTCAAAAACAATATCAAATGTTCTCAAAGATCGCGAAGGGAAAATTCCAAACGGGTTCTCTGGTGGAGCACGATGAAAGCGGATAGAGTTCTCGATGAGATCTGCTGGATTCCAAGCACCTCCTCAATGGGAAGGACACTACCCAGACTGAGCTCTTTCGGGTCCTTTCCTACGATACACATTCAGAACATGGCCAGAACGGTAGTCTCATCTGGCAATGCATAACGATACTTTTTGGGTGCCCGAAAAGGCAAGCATCCACGTCCGAGGCGTGGACTCGTTTCCCCGCAAAAGCCATGCAGGACATTCACTCCGACATCCCGATGCGCCCGCTTCTTGGCGTGTCGACACAGAAAGCGCAGTTGCATCGTTATTTGCCTCATGGGTTTCTCAAAATAATTTCATATCTCATCAAGTTTCGAACTGGATATGACAGACTCTGGGCCATTTCGTTGCTTCTTTTGTTGTTTTGGATGCCGCCTGTCAACACTGGCTGGACGGACAGAAATGAGACCTGGGCCCTGTCACACACACGGCGCAATGCCATGTGTATTACGTAGGGCCGAAGGAAGACCGAAATTCGGATCCATACTACGATGAAAAGCATTGGATTATGTCACGGCTAAGCCATCAAAGCAAGTGTATAATGAATGATGGAATGATGGTTCGGAATGAAACTAGTAGAATGAACTACACATTGCCACAAAAGCAATAAGGCCAAATCAGATATTCACAGCTTTGCCAATAGCCCGTCCGCCTTCTTGTACACAAGATGGTCTTGAGTGATGTCCTTGATGCTTCTGCAACTGCGGAAACGGTCAGCATCTGTCTTCAGCTTTCCTCGTGCACGCTTCAACTCACCCGGCCAGCAACATAGCCACTTTGAACTCATACATGAGAATTTTCAGTGCTAGCTCGACACCGTCTTGGCCGTCGTACTGGAGAGTGAGCTGTTAGTAACGTTTTTGTGCTGTGGTGTTTAAGGTATTTGATGGACAACGAACCGCAAGGCCCCATATGGGAATCCTGCCTACGAAACAGTGCGAGGCACCCAGAGCAAGAGCCTTGAAGATGTCGGTGCCTCGGCGAATACCCCCATCCACAGTGATAGGAATCTTTCCTCGCGCTACAGGGGCACACTGCCTTAAAATGTCAATTGAGGCCGGGACTCCATCCAGCTGTCGACCACCGTGGTTAGAGATTACCACGCCATCTAGTCCATGCTTAATGGCAGCCCGGACGTCTTCAGGCCCGTAGATTCCTTTGACCCATATTTGAAGCTTCGTGTGCTGGCGCATCCAAGGAATCAGACTGTCCCAGTCAACCGACGGGTCATAGTCGTGCTTGCTAGGCTCCGCTGGCACCTCGTCGCTTTTCCCAATCTGATCACTGGAGGCACGGAGCTCGCTTTTGCCATCAGATAGTAGGTTTGGCCAGGACATCCCGTCCGGGAGACTGAAGTTGTTTCGATACTCGTTCAAACGTCGGCCTAGGCATGGAGTGTCGGCGGAAAGGAAAATTGCCTTGTATCCAGCACCTGGTGGCCACAATATTAGCTAGTGCGAGTGTCGAACAGACTTGGGCTTTCGAAACGCACTTTCCGCCCGTTGGAGGATTTGGAGGGTAATCGACCGATCCTTCAGAATGCACAGTTGCATTACGTAGGGATTCCCAGCACCTTGAGAAATAACATCCTCCAGTGATGCGGTTGCATATGATGATAGACCCATACAGATTCCCATCTTTGCTGCAGCTCTCGAAGTTGCAATCTCGCCGTCTGGATGAGCTAAACCATGCATGGCTGCAGGGCTGAAGCCCAAGGGCAACGCTGTTTTGAAACCGAAAATCTCACCGGATATATCGACATTATCGACATTGACAAGGACACGAGGTTGAATTTTGTAGTAGTCATAAGCTTCCTCATTCTCCTTCACACTATGGATGTCAATATTAATTAGCCAGAAAGCTTCATGTGGAGGGCGTACGTGAGTAGATCCATAGCGCCCTCGTTGAAATAATCTCAAAAGTAATATTAGCAGATGATTGCATAATCCACACGACAGGATATGCGTACCTCGATACATCTTTGGGAGTCTTCGGCTTCCATGGTACTTCAAATCTTGAATGCTGTGGACCGAGGTGTCCCAAGAAACTCCTCTACTCGCCATATCGCACTGAGAGATGTTACGTTTCGTCGACAGGCAGGATTGATACTATTAAGATTCGGTTGACGGCTGCAAATCGTAAATTTGAGTTGGGGACTGAGGGTTCAAGTAGTACGTAACTGCGAGCATTCAATCCAACTCAGCCAATGCCCGTGCCTACTTTGATCAGCAAAGGCTCAGATAAATCAAATTGAAAGACACATGCATGACCCCGAGCTTCAGACAAGGCCCCAGGGCGAGTGGTACCCATTGGAAGAGAAGCCCTGCAATGAACAGCGCTCCTCAATCAATTACTTCGAAAGAAAGGGGAGCTGGCTGGATACGGGTCGGCTGTTCTGGTCCTAGTGGCAAAGTTGCCTCTCGAAGACCGTCAATACCTGACAAAACAAGATGTTCTCAGCAGAGGTCATCAAGCTTCCGGAATCAGACGATGCCGATACAGTCCTGTAATCTCTCCTCTGTCCCTCGTATCTCCCGAAAAGAACCCTGGCGGTATCTGCGCCAAATCATGCATCGCCCCCCAGATACTGACGAGGTTGCCCGCGCCCGCTCAAAACGTATTCTGAAATATGCACAAAGCTGAAAGTCGGTCTTTCCTACACTAACAAACTCGGGATGGTGAATGCAATGAAACCTGGAGGTGGGGACAATGAATGGCGAAGTTTGCCCATTTGACGGCTACCCCGGAAAGTTGCTAGATAAGCCCGATGCAGGTGGATGCATGAAGACGCGGGATGTTCCCGCTGCCTGATGGATTTTACGGGAGATAAACCCCCTCAGTCCTACATAAGCCGTACTGTTCAAAACAGGTAGGTTATTGAGAGCTATCTTGCGGGGTAAATGAAGGCATCCATGTTCCCCGATACCTGTGCTGAACGCGTGTCTCAGAGCTCAGAAGCTTGCCGTTTCCAATAGGTATGGACTGATGATAATTGTTTGTATTAGGTTACATCAGATATCGGCCACTGATGGAGGTGATGTTTACTGTGAGGTGTTGCAAGGGCTTGACGGCTTTGTATCTAGGCGACCACTTCGATTGACGGCAAGACTCATCAAAAGGAAAATGGGATGCAAGAGAAATACGAAGTAGTTTTGTTTTGAGAATTATTTGAAAGTTGACTGCTCATGGTTCGTCATCCTGGCCTCTAAGAGACGTACTTTAACAGACGAGTTCCAGTCTAGCGTCCGCCAAAGACCGGCTGAAGATGATCGAACAGGGCACTTGTGTCCTCTTCTGTAACGCCCTGAATGTCGTCGTAGACGAGAAGCCTCGAGAGTACGTCTTTATTCTCACGTGCCAGAGCTTGTGCCTCCTCAGGAGGCTTCCCACCATTTCGTGCGGTCAGTATTAGGGAAAGGTGGAATTTTGACCGTGCGACGGCGGCGTCAGGCCAAACGCTCTTGCCCGGTTTCCCTTCGGCCTTACTCAGTGCACTGCCTATTTGCAGCCTGAAATGGATTAGAAAAATGATCCGAGCCAATGGGTGGATATAATTACTCAGCTTGTTCCCACCGTTGCATATGGGAGAAGATCGAACCAACAGCGTACTGGCTTTGAAGAGTGAAATAGCTGTCTTTGCCGTGGACTCTTACTCTATCAGCTAGGACTCTTTCGTGCAAGTCCAAAGCTCTTGAATGATCACCCCCTACAGCATAATGCACGCAAGATCGAATTGGAATCGAAGAACGAGGTGTTCGTCACCAACATTCTTGATTAAAACAACAGATTTGCGTCCGGGCTGCTCAGCACTTGCAAAGTCATGTTGATACATGCTGCAATAAGCTAGGTGGTGTGTTAGCTTCGCAAAGGGAAATGGATCCTTTTCCTCGGAAGTAATCTTGAGTAGCGCTTGACGACACTGTTTGTACATCGGCTCGGCTTTCCTGAAGTTATTGCATCGCAGCATTGAGTTAGCGTAGTCGGCATTAACATTAATGAGCTTTACTTTGTCGCCGTCCATGATCTCACCCGTTTGTTCCCTCTGTGCAGTGCGTAGGCTTCGAACTATCTATAGATACCTATATAGGTATATACCTATATAGTCTATAGGTTATAGAGGGGTACCTAAGTAGGTACTAAGTAGGTATAGGTATTAGGTAAGATTTTAATATTTAGGTACTAAATATATAGGTATAGTAGGGATTATAATTTAGGTTTTAAATAAGGGTTTATTTAATAAGTATAATATATTAAGATAAGTTTAGAGAAGAGTTAAAGCCTAAATTAAAATATCTAAACTATATAAGAAATAAATTAAATTATTCTACTATATTACTAATTTCTAATAAAGGAAATTTACTATAATCTATTTTATCTATAGTCCTTTAACTACTTAATTACTCTCTTATTCTCTAATTTAATAATAAAGGGGAATATTTATAAGCCTATAAACTTTACTATAATATATTTAAACTTAAGAGTAATATCTAAAAGGCTTAGTTTAACTTATTATTAAAGTTTAAAACTTAGTTACTAATTTTAATAAGTTCTATATCTAAAAACTCTAGTTATACTAAGTTTTAAATATCTTAAGTATTATTATTATTATTATTACTTAAAATATTAATAATATCTTAAGTATACTTAATAATAAGTTTATAAGAAATAATATAAGAGCTCTTAATATTAAGAACTTTATATTAGAATATTTAGTAAATTAATATAATATAATCTTTATTAAGTTTTTTAAATATATTATCTTCTAAAATAAAAAGTTTTAGATTAGAGAATAAAAGCTATTCCTACTACTTATTCTAAATAATAAAAAGGAGTTAATAGAAAATTATCTTAGGTTTTATATTAAAGTATAAATAATAATAGATATATCTATTAAAGCTAAATACTTATTTAAGAGGGATAATATTAGGGAAAATATAAAGATAGTTATAAGCTATTCTATAGAAGCTATAATACTTTAAATCTTTTCCTAAGTTTCTCTAGAAGTTTTAGATTAATTACTTAGTATAATAACTTAATACTAATTTAGTATTATTTCTAAAAAGGGGGAGATTATAATATTTATACTTCTTAAGGAAATTATAAATAATATTAAATCTATTTAAGGGAGATATTTATTTTTAGTTCTAAAGAAATATATAAGCTAAGTAATTAAAATAATATTATAATAAGATTATTATAATAGGATTATTATAATAAAATTTTTATAAGGATTATTATAATAAGTTATTATAAAAATAGAAAAAAAGTTATAGTATATTTATTTCTTAAAACTTTAGAGTATTAAAGCTATTAAACTATAGATAGATCTATAAACCTTATCTAGAGTAGATTTTAAGTTCTTTAAGCTATCTTTATAGTAATCTTTAGTATAGATTTTAATAAACTCTTTCTAAATAATATTAGCTAATAGGCTAAAATAAGCTTTATAAATATTATAAAATCTTAAATTATTATTTACTATATCTAATATAAATAAAAGATATAAGAATAGTAAAGATATATAAAGAAATTAATCCTTTTCTTATAGTAACTAATACTTCTTAAGTTTATCTACTACTATTTATACTACTTTTTAAAGAAATAGAACTTAATATTTATTCTTATTAATATTAAGTTTCTGTTATATAAGTAATAGTTAGAGGAGACTAAAGAGTTAAATAAAGGTGTGTCTTTTCTAAGAGGATATTACGCTCTTAGCGCCCCTTATATCCTAAGCGTGTTAGGCTTATATAGCTTATATAACCTACTCCTTAGTAAGTACTTACTAAGGCTCCCTTATAAGGTATATAGTATATTACTAAATACTTTACTATATACCCTCTTAGTTATATATATAGCTAATAAGAGCTATATACTTAAGAGGACTTATTTAAACTAAATTAAATATAGTACTAATATAGGGTTACTTATAGCATAATAGGAGCGCTCCTAAAAGAGCTATAGAGTACTCCTTTATAAGGTTATAAAAGGACCTTTTAATTTATAATATATTATTAATACTATATAAATATATAAACTATACTAGTATTAAATAAGCTAGTTAGGTAAGTACTCTCTTAATATAAATAAGAATAGAAATTTTTATAAGCCCTCTTATAGAAATTTTTTTTTCCTTATATATCCTAATTTTTATATTTTATAAGCGCTATTTTATATTACTTATAAGATCCTTTCTATTATTTATATAATAATCCCTCTCTTCTTACCTTCTCTCTCTTTATTTTCTTATAAGATCTTTCTTTCTCTTAAGTTCTCTATCCTTATATTATAATACTATATTTATATAAAGATAGGTATTAGTTATACTAATTACTCTACCTTTATAAAGAAGTTATAAATATACTATAAAGCTAAGAGTACTTAGTAGGCTTATTAAGATAATAATACTAATAAACTTATTAGTAAGTAAGATAAGGTGCTTATTAAGATTTTATCTTCTTAGGATAAGGATAATAGTAAGTACTATTAACTTATTTCTAAAGCTACTAGCTAACTACTTTATAAGTAGAAGATAAATTTAATATTAATAATAAAGATCTTAATTTTAAGGATATCTAGGTCTCTTATAAGTTCTCTAGTAGTAAGGACTTCTATTCTACCTCTTAGTATAATCTTATAGAGTCTAATATTATTTAAAAGTAGGTTTAACCTATTTATAAGTTTAGATCTATATACTATCTTTATAAATAGGATTAGCCTATTTATGAGGGTACTTCTATCTTTTATAAGATTACTACTTTTAAGCTTACTTAAAAGCTTATTTAAAAGCCTACTTAGGAGTTTATTTAGGCTTTAAAGAGGATTAATACTACTAATTATAAGTATAAGTAAGCTGCTTTTATCCTAAGTGAGGATAAGGATAAAGATTATAGTAAGTGCTTTTCTATTTATAAGATAATATTATACTTATTTCTTTCTCTTTAGGAAAATATTTAATTAAGAGACTTCTTCTTAACTACTAACTATATAACTATAATAAGGGAGATCCTCTTAATAAGTAGTATATATAAAGCCTTATAAGTAATACTTATTACTTAAAAGT